TATCATTTGAGCGTATGATCAAGACGCAGTTATGTGTGGTTGAAGACTGCACTTGTCACCATGTTAATTATAAACAGCAGGCACCATAGTTTGACCTGTAAGCCTGATAGAAGTGACTCTGCAAAATCTGAATGGGCATTTCCACGTGTGCACTGTGCGTTCAACACTCATGATGTGGTCCAAGTGCTCTATTTCCAAAGTTGGATCAAGTAGGTCTATCCTAGCAAAGTTGTGTGCCATTCACCAAAGAACAAGTGTTTAGTTACAAGAAGATCCCAACACTGGTGTTACACATGGGGCCAAGTTACAAAATTGCAGATCAGTTGATTTTTGATTTTTTTTTGGGATTGGAAGGTCTCTCAAAGTACTCTGTAGGATTTTTGGATGTGTTGGGGTGAGCTCCTAGTCCTGGGCATTGAGTATTGCTGCATCCTCACAAAAGAACAAAGAGGAGTGGGTGACCTGTCCACAGAGAGACTGCAACAGACACTGCGGTTGCAGTGCTTCTCGGCCTGCAGGATAACACAGATGGAGCAGAGGCTGCAGAGAGGATAAACTCTGCATCACACTCTGCCAAGTTAGTGTCCAGTCCTGCCACGATCCTTGATAGGAATTGGAAGAGATTCTTTCATTCAAGACTGCTAATGCACCCAGCATCTTGCATCATCTGCATTCTCCAGGTATGCCACCTTGACAAGGACCTCAGAGTCCTCTGCAGTGGTGGAAAGCTGGCTGCAGTCCATTCATGGCTGGTAACTCACCAGATCCTAATCCAGGATTTGTGACATCATCTAAGATATGTGCAGTGTCAGGTGTGGATTATTGCATGTTAGCTGTGAGTTCTCAGTGTCAGGGTCAGCAGATGTCAGAGTGATTTGAGGTGTGATGCATTAAGCAGCATGAGAGGTGGGTACTGCAGCAGATGGAAGATGTTAGGAAGATCTTGGTCACCAAAAGTCATTAGACTTCTTGCGACACTGCTGCCAATTCCTCAGGGCCAGATGTCAGGAATTGCCATCCCTAATGGCCACCTCCTACTCCCTTATGAAGTTTGCCTTTGACAAGATTCTGTCCCCACACTCTTATTCTATGTGAAGAGCCTAACATCTCTTCTTCTGCCCAAAAGGTCCTTGAGTGCTTCCTGAACACCAACCCCCTCTGCCCTGTCATCATGGTCCTGTATATGGCACCATGGCTCTCTTCCTATTCATATCCAGTACCAAGGTCTGCATCGTTGCCTCTGGAATCCTCTTTCTATCCTGGTATTCCATTTTCTGTTTACAACTGGAGCAAAAGTATCCAGCAGCAGCCTTCTGAAAAGCAGTGCAGCTTCCCTTTAAGAGGGACAAGACAGCCTTTTGGATCAGAAAACTACAGCACCACGAGCTTTTAGCACATGCTGTTTGATTCCCTGCTGAGTGCAGAGGCAGCTAGTGGTATGGGAGGAGCTAAAATCAAGTAAATAAGTGATAGCCCCAAGTTTGCTTGCTATCTGCATTCATTTCGATGAACATGGGAATGTCACAAATCATAACTGTCATACCCAAAATGTGACACACATTGATTTTTAGCTAGATTTTTCTTGATGAGAGTTGTTTACTTGGTCATTTTGAAGCTGAAATGACATATCATGAAGAAGTAGAACATGCTGGAGAAGTAAACAGGTCTGGAAGTATTCATGGTGAGAGAAACTGAGCTGACGTTTTGGGTCTGGTATAACTTCTTCAGAACTCTTCCAACGAACAGTCATATTGGTCTCAAAATGTTAACTCTGCTTCTCTCTTCGCACATGTTGCCAGACCTCCTGAATTTCTCTCGCATTTTCTGTTTTTATTTCAGATCTCCATCATCTGCAGTATTTTGCTTTATAACATCATATCTCCTTACTGTCTAATTCCCTGTCCACTTACTTCTGTGGTTTGATTGTTACGTTTTTGATACATTTTTTTTTCCCCTTGTGATTTTCTTTTTGTCCCTCATTTCAACACTAAATTTCCCGGAATTTGTGCCACCACTATATTGAATAATGTAATTTTTGAGTAGTTTGGCATTCTTTTTGAAAAATAAGCATTTAAATGGTAAGAAAAAAACACTTATGTTTTAGTCTGCAGTATCCAGCATTCTAGTTTGAATTATGAGACAGGGTGGAAAAAGAATTTCTGCATATTTCTCACTCGTTGTTTTGTTGCTGAAAATACATGGAGATGGACTTTTGAATTTTGATGCATAAATATATCTTTTGTAATCTGGTATTTTTTTTTCTACAGAGGATGATCACAGAGAAAAGTCCATCTCCCATCACACAGTACAGCAGCTAATAATGGAAAAGGATCAGGCCTTGTCTGACCTGAACTCTGTGGAGAAATCTCTTGCAGACCTCTTCAGGAGATATGAGAAGATGAAGGAGGTGTTAGAGGGGTTCCGAAAGGTAGGTTGATTTAAGTATGGAGTTTTATCAATAAAATATCAGGGTGGCAATTAGTCCTATAAAAGGAGAATTGCAATAATTTAACCTGAAGAATTTTAATTTTTTTAGAAAGGAGGATATTTTAAGGACCACAGATTTTTTTTAAAAAAATTAACCTTACATTTACTCAGTTGTACACAAAGATGGCAGTATTTATATCAAGACCAATGGCTGTGATTTGGATTGCTGCATGTGATGCTATCCACAGTTGCAAGTTATTGTTGTATGTGAAAGTACAGTTCAACAAACATTAGTGTAATGCATTAGAAAGACAAAAAATAGGAGCAGGGTAGCCCATTCAGCGTGATCATGGCTGATTCTCTATCACAACGCTATATTCCCGTTCTTTCACCACATACGTTGACACCTTCGGTCTCTAGAAATCTTTCTATTTTCATAATATTATTCAGTGACTTCACCTCCAACCTTCTGTGATGGAGAATTCCACAGGTTCACTATGGTCTCATTGAATAAGTATCTCCTCATCTCAGTCTGAAGTGATTTAATCACTTACCTTGAGACCATGACCTCTTGTTTTCTATCTCCTATTGAGGGGAAGCATTAACCCTGCATCCAATCTGTCCAGCAATATGAGAATTGTGTGTTTCGCTGAGTCCTCTTCACCATTAACAGTCCCATCTAGTTTTATGTCCGCAGTGAACTTGGAAATATTATGTTTGATGTCTTCCTCCAAATCATTGGTTTATGATAGCTGAGGCCCAAGCACTGATCTCTACTGTACCCTACTAATCATCACTTTCACTCTGAAAATGACCCCTTTATTCCTTGTTTTGTCTTTACTAACCAAATCTTATTACATGCCATGTATTACCCTCAATCACACGTGCTTTAATGTTAAACCCTAAACTTCTTTATGGGAGATATCATAACCTTTCTGAAAATACAAATACACCACATCCATTATAGCTCCTTCATCTGTTCGACGAGTTAAATCCTCAAAAAAACTCCAGTAGGTTTGTCAAACACAAATTTACCTTTCACAAAATCAAAATATGTAACAAGATAACAGAGACAAATTATATCTCAAAGAAAAAAAAGCTAAGATTAGATTATTACACTGAAGGCTACTGCATTTAACCTAAATCTCATAGCCTACTAAACTACTTCTTTACACTGTAGAATCCTAGAGAAAAAAGTTCTTAGTTTGTAGACTTCATAGAACAACACTTTAACACAATTTATTTAGTTGACCAATATAATATCCATGGTCCAGATTTTGCATGAAGCGTGGTAGGACATCTATCAGTGCTCATGGATATTGAAGAGAGGGAGAAAAGGAAGAGAAAGACTTGCATTTGTAAAGTGCTCAAACTTGTGATGTCCAAAGTGTTTTAAAGCCAATGAAGGATTTTTGAAGTCTGGTCACTGTTTAAATATTGGAAACACAACATCAGTTTGCTTGTAGCGTCATGCCACAAACAGTTATGTGAGAGTGACCAGAAAACCTGTACTTTAAAGATTTTGTTTGAGGGGATAAACAAACATTGGCCAGGGCACAGGGGAATCACTTCCTGCTGTTGTTCAAAATATTAATATACTGAGATTATAATATTCAAAACATAAAAATCTTTTACGCTCAAGTGAGAGAGCACTGGGTCAAAATTGCTGGGTAAAAATCCTACAACTCCCTTCCAACTGCATTGTTGTATCACTACGTTGTTCATGGTGCTTCAAGAAGGCAGCTCATCACCAACTTCTGAAGGTCTAATCCAGATCGGCAATAAATGCTGGCCCAGCCAGCAACACCCACATCCTGAGCAAGAACAAAATAGGTCTTTGAGTTGAACATTCATCTGAAAGGTGGCATGTCTGACAGTACAGCACTCCCTCAAATGGAGTGCCAGGCTCAATATTTATGCTCATATCCCCAGAGGATTCTGCAACCAACAACATTTTAGAGGAACAAATGTGTTAATTATTTCTGTTCACTTCCATTAGAAGAAAAAAGATCAAAAAACAATACATCACAGGAACAGGCCCTTCGGCCCTCTGGCCCTCTAATCCTGCACCCACCCATTTTGGCCTTCCATACTGAACTTACTGTCCTCACTTACAGGATCAGTATCCCTCTATTCCCTTCCTATTCACGTATTTGTCCAGGTGTTTCTTGAGTGCTGCTATTGTGTCTACTTCAACCATCACCTCTGGCAACACGTTCCAGGCACTCCCCACCCTTTGTGAAAAATTTGCCTCACCCATCTCTTTTAAACTCCACCGCCCCCCTTACACCTTGAGCCTGTCTCTCCTGGTAATTGACCCCGCCACCCTGGGATAAAGCCTCATACTTTCCACTCTATCCATGCCTTTCACAATCTTCTAAACTTCTGTCAGGTCACCATTCAACCTCCTGGGTTCCAGTGAAACCAACCCAGTCTGTCCAACCTTTCTTCATAGCTAAAATCCTCCATATCAGACAACCACCTAGTAAGCCTTTTCTGCACCTTCTCCAGAGCATCCACATCATTCTGGTAGTGTGGTGACTGTAAGCAAGATTCCAAGTGTGGTCTAACTAAAGTTCTATAAAGCTGCTGTGTAACATGGCTATCCATATACTCAATGCCCCTGCCAATGAAGGCAAGCATGCCAGAGGCCTTTTTTTTTTCCCCACTATCTTATCTACCTGCGCTGCCACCTTCAGTGATCTGTGAACCTGCATATCTAGATCCCTCTGCATATCAATACTCCTAAGGGTTTAGCCATTCACTGTATAATGCCCCCTGTACTTGACCTTCCAAAATGCATCCCTTCACATTTGTCCAGATTAAACTCCATCTGCCATTTTTCTGCCGATGCCTCCAACTTATCTATATCCTGCTGTATCCTCTGACAATCCTCCTCATTATCTGCAACTCCACCACTCTTTGTATCATTGCAAACTTGCTAATTAGACCAGCTAGGTTTCCTCTAAATCATTTGTGTAGGTCACAAACAGCACAGGTCCCAGCACTGATTCCTGTGGAACACCACTAGTCACAATCCTCCATTCTGAAAAGCATCCTTCCATTGCTACCTTCTGTTTCCTATGACTAAGTCAGTTCGGTACCTACCTTGCTAGTTCACCCCTGATACCATGTACACCATGAATGCAGAAATCATAAAATTGCAGTCTGATTGATTGGCCCAATCAGGAGGTTTGACAGACAGTCATCTTGCTGAAGGGCTCAGTATTCAAACACAAGATGTGCAGTTGTAACATGTACCTACTAGATGTCCACTAACTGTGAGAGGAACAATTGAGGCTTATCCATTAGAGTATGTCATTATTTTAACAATGTGCAATTGACCACCAAAACGTATCACTGGCACTGCAAATGTACTTGTGTAAATGTGGAATTGTTTTCCTTTGGATTTTAATTATCGTTGCAGAGAATTCAAAATTTAAACCTAAGAAAAGTTTTTGTCACTTATTTTGTGCTTTCTTTGTTTCAATCACCATCTTTGTTTCAATCTCTCTTACTTATTTTCTTCCTTTTATGGACTTCATTTTGTTTTCTGTACATGATTTGACATTGAAATAAATATTCTAATACCTCATTGTTTCACTTTTGTGTCAGTGGTTGCATTTTGAATGAGTTAAAATCCGATGTGTAGAGGCAAGGGCTCTTTAATTTGATTCATTGCATCTTGCCTTGTTCATATGGGCCCCAGATCAAGGGTGCCATAAATCACAGCGTAAAAAAATCAGCAGGAATTCTGTTGACAAGTGTTACGGTAATGTATAATGGATGCCATTCATCTGCTGCTGACAGAGAAATCCAGATCAATTGAAATAGCTAAATTTGCCTTTCTTGAAATCTTTACTTTAAAAATTACCAGACATCAGATCTGAAACCAAAGGCAGGAGTTTTAACTTTACTGCAGCTTGCTAATGTTCCCAGTCTATCCTTACTGAATTATATATTTCTTGTGATAGATGACCTCCCTCAAATCAACAATATTAATGGTGGTATTAAAAGAAAGTATTGATCAAGGTTTGCATAAAAGGGTGCTTTGAGGAAATGTATTTTCTTGTTGTATCAGTTTGGATTTTCAGGACAGTTACTTTGTTTTTGGTAGAATGAGGAAGTGTTGAAGAAATGTGCCCAAGAGTATCTTGCCCGAGTAAAGAAAGAAGAACAGCGATACCATGCTCTTAAAATCCACGCAGAGGAAAAGCTTGACAAGTAAATATTCATTCTTCCTAAAATTTGAAAATAAAAAGCACAGTTCTGGAAGTCCTCACATCAGGTATGCTTCTGGTGAGAGGAAACTGAGTTAGTGGAGTATGGGAGTGGAGGCAGGTGGGCCTACAATCTCCTGCTATTGAATAGCATGCCTATCTGCTGCCATGCTCCTCCCTCCAATCCATCTTCATTGAGACAGCAGTGGTGGGTAGCCTGGAAGGCAAACTAAAATGCCCAATGACGTCACATGCCAAAATGGGCCTGGAATTTTCTAGCTGCCGGGTAGGCCCTTTGCTGAGGCTGAAGCCTAGCTGCTGGTTTGAAGCAGCCTCTTGAGAGCAGACTTGGTCACTCTGGGCCTTCAGCCCCTCAGTAAATATTCCACCACCTCCGCTTACCCCCACTCAACTGCCACAGTCACTGTGGTGGTCATAGGCTTTCCTTTTGAGGGATCTCCCCCTCAAAATGACAGCATGGCTAGAATTTGGACATAGCCTTCTAATCAACCATCTCTTCATAAATTTTCTTTTGGGTCTTGGTGCCAGCATTTGAGAGTTCTAAATGACACTTCCTCCCGACAACAGGATTGGAATTCAGAAACGAAAATTCAGCCCATTGTTTTATGTGGATAACATTCGCTGTCTCTTCCTGATGTACGTTGTTGTCTGTGTTGGGGTAGTACAAAAACAGTTGAAACTAAGGCTATTCAATTGTCTTGGCATCAATTAACACAATTGAACCCTCTTGTGTAATAAGTACAAATGTATGAAATATGGATAATAGAGCTGACTAGATAACCACATACCCATACGTTATGATCAGCCCTTTCAATGAATGATGTACAAATAACGAGTCATTGTGAGGCGTTTATATTGCACTTTTTCCCCTATCTTCTCTTGAAATTGGAAACATGTGAAAAGTAAAATATTTTATACAGTAATATTAAGTATGCGATTAGTTGAATTTCTTGTATTGTCTTAACAACAGTGATATCACAATGTTCATAAATTGGGAAGTACAACTTAATAACCCGTAACAAATCTTAAAATGTTGGTGTTAAATCTCTTATTCTATACAAGTTAAGTTATAATAAATTCCTATTTTCTGTCTCAAATTCAAATTAATAATGGGAATCAAATTGCATTAAACACTAGAGAAGATTAGCACATTTTTTTTTTTTACTTTACATGATCCCCATTTAAAACTTTATTCTTGAATTTTCTCTACTTTTATACTGTTATTGAATTTGAATCTGTTACCATGCTGCTTCCTCCAATCCATCTTCATTGAGACAGCAGTGGTGGGGAGCCTGGAAGGCAAACTAAAAATTTCTTCACTTGAATTTTAGGGCCAATGCTGAGATTGCTCAAGTACGAGCTAAGTCCAAATCAGAACAGGCAGCCTTTCAGGCCAGCTTACGGAAAGAACAGATGAAAGTCGAGTCACTGGAGAGAACTTTGGAACAAAAGGTAATTAAATGCATATTAAGAGGGAGTGCTTTACAATATTCAAATCAACTACTTTGAATTTTTGAGCAGTATTTTACTATGTAATTTTTAATGATGGTAAACTTAAGATATTCCAATGTAAATTTCATTTCATTTGATAGCAACACACATTTTCTGAGATTTATACAACAGCAGTATGTTGCCAAATTCTATTTATATACTAGGGATTTTTCTGAAATGTACGGATATTGTTATTTTGTGTAAAACCAAGTGAAAAGTATTCACTATTGGTTAAATGTGAGGATGAACTGTCTATTATAGGTACCCAAGCTGGACGCTAGTCCTCCAGTTAGAGCTCAGCTTACATCTCAATTGTGGTTCCTGCATTCCTGATATCTACAACACTAAATCAAGGATCTTAGTCAACGAGATTCAACTGAGTCCAATCACTACATCCCTCCCCCCTCCCCTAGTCCAGGGACATAGGCCTGGTCTTTCTCTTGGAGCTTTTCTTGCAACATTTTTGTCCAGGTCCAGTTTCTCCACCTCGGACTCTGACATGGGTGGTATGTACTAGACTGTAGCCCATCTCTTGCATCTAGAGAGTTTTCTCCCCTTCTGGCAGTAACGGTATTGAGGCTGCATCCATCTCAGACCCCGAGGTTTCCCTGACACTAGATGGAGGGGGAGAACCTACAGTTTCTGACAGGCCTTCTGGATTTTGAGGGGCCAGGTGGGTTTTGCTCCTGCCCCATTTGTGAGGTAACAGCTTTCAGGCAACCCACTTGTTTGTTCAGGACTGTATCACAGGACCTGACCTCACGTCAACCTTGTACAGGGCCATTCCCATGGCACGGTGGCTCAGTGGTTAGCACTACTGCCTCACAACGCCAGGGACTCTGGTTCAATTCCACCCTCGGGCAACTGTACGTGTGGAGTTTGCGCATTCTCCCCATGTCTGCATGGGTTTCCTTTGGGTGCTCTGGTTTCCTCCCACAGTCAAAATGTGGGGCTAGGTGGATTGACCATGCTAAATTGCCTGTAGCGTTCAGGGATGTGTAGATTAGGTGGGTTACATGGGATGGGTCTGTGGGATGCTCGGAGGGTCGTTGTGACTTGTTGGGCCGAAGGGCCTGTTGTTTCCACACTCTGGGGATCCTATGAAACTTCATCCCCTGAGTTAAATTGTCTCTTGCTTAGATGAGGCATGTGATCATCATTGGTGTTCCTGCTGCCATTTAACTACCCCCTCCTCCAGGTCTGGAAATAGCAGTTTTAACCTGGTGCAGAGTCTTCTCCCCATCAGCAACTTTGCTGGAGCTATCCCTGTTCTTGTGTGTGGGGTGGTCCTACAATCAAACAGGAACCAGGACAGTTTGGTATCAATTGATGCTGTAGGCTGCTTCTTTAAGCCTGTCTTCAATATTTGGACCACTGAGACCATTGGGCGATGGATGAAGTGGAGCTGTCCTTATATGCTGAATGTCATTTGACTTTAGGAAATATTAGAGTTTCCTGCTGGTAAGTGATGTTCCATTGTCCGTGACCAATACTCCCAGGAGTCCATGTATCACCAGTGATATTAGCAGCTTCTCAATAGTCATCCCTGAGATTGCCAAATGAACTTTATGCATGTCCAGCCACTTTGAATGGGCATCCACCATGACCAGAAACATTGAGCCCATGAAAAGACTGGCATTGTTATGCCACCAAGTTCAGTGTTTACCCAGCCATTTCCAAAAATGTGGCAACAGTGCTGGTGATTTTTGTTCTTGTTGGCACTCTGGGCAGTGCCCCACCACTGCAGCTATGTCAGCATCCAGCCCTGGCCACCACACAGTTTCTTGCCAGCATCTTCATCTTGGAAACCCCTGGATGACCCTGGTGGAGTTCAGCCACTATCTGACAGCAACCTTTACTCAGGACAATCACCCTTCCTCTACAGGGATCTGGTCTCGCCAGGTCCAGAAATGTTTCAGTCCGAGTTGTGATGGCCCTTCTATTTCCATCATTACCACCAGCTGTTTTAGTTCCACTAGCACCAGGTCCTTTTGAGTCCACAGTCAGATGTTGTCCATGGTGACTGGAAGCATGTCCAGGAAGTTCAAACTCAAAATGGACTTTTCCAGGGGAGGCACAATTGGAGTATCTGCCAGTGGGAGGTGGCTCGACGCATCCACATTAGCCGCTTGGCTTGCTGGACAGTGTTCAAACTTGTACTTGTACGCACTGAGAAGAAGGGCCAACGTTACATTTTACTGGAAGCTATGGGTGACACTGCCTCATCATCTTCAGTAGCCGTAGCAGGGGTTTGGGATCTGTTACTATGACAACTTCCCATCTGTAAAAGTACTTGTGGAAGTTCCTCACACTGAAGATAACTGCCAAACCTTCCTTCTCTATCTGGGCATATTTGCATCCAGCATCAGCCACTGTCTGGGAAGCATACTCTATTGGGTGTTCCTCTCCATTGGGCCACCAGTGAGCCAACACTACCCTGACACCGTACAGGGATGCATTGCGTGTCAGCACTTCATCTTGCTTTGGATCGTTGTGGGCCAACACCTTAGGTGACGACTGCTTTTTCCACTTCCCTAAAGGCTCCTTCTTGGCTACACAACCATTTCCAAGGCTGACCCTTTTTCAATAGCAGGTGTAAGTGTGCCAAGATGGAGGCCAGGTTACATATGAATTTTCTGTAATAATTCATTAACCAAAGGAGAGACACAAGCTCTGGTACAGATGTGGGAGCCAGGGCTCCTTTGATCGCCCTCACTTTCTCTTCCAATGGGTGCAACCCTGTTTTGTTGACTCCAGGTAGGTCACTTGAGGTGCCTGGAACACTCATTTTTCCCTTCTAAGGTGGATGCCCACCTGGGAGAAATGTATTATGTCATCCAGATAAATGGCAACCTAAGGTGCCCTTGTAAAATGTCCTCTATGGTCTGCTGGAAAAGAATGCAAGCTGATGATACCCCAAATGGCAGTCTTGTATATTGAAATAAACCCTTGTGTGTATTAATTGTAGTATACTTCTGGAATTCTTCACAGAGTTGCAATTGCAGGTAGGCATGGCTTGTCCAGCTTTGTAAAGGACAGCCCCCTGCCAACTTCACATACAACTCCTCTATGCAAGGAATCAAGTATTTATCCAGCTGTGACCATTTGCTTAAAATCCCCTCAAAGATGATCGGAGCCGTCAGGCGTCACAATCAGTATGACTGGTGCTGCCCATTCTGCAAACTGCACTGATTTGATGATTCCTTCACTCTCCAGTCTTCTGATTTCCAGTTTTACTTTTTCCTGCAAGGCAAATGGCACTGGGTGGACTTTGCAAAATTTCAGAATTGCTTCCTGGTTAACATGTAAAATAGCTTTGGTTCCTTTGATAGTTCCAAGCCCTTCCTGAAATACCCCTGGGCATTTCACAAGAACTTCACGGAGGCAGCCATTTTCTAAATCAAACCATGTTGAGCTAATGTAGGTGAATCTTTCTCAATCAATTCTGCCCCAGTATGCCTGAGCCTTTTATATCATCAGTGGTAACTGCATCAACGGCATCTCAAAAGGAGGCCAGAAGTGAAGTCGTATCCTTAATCTGCAATGGTTCCCCAGTGTATGTTCTCGGTCTAGCTGAGGTCTTGTGCAAACTTAAGGGCTAGTGTCCCAAGTGAATTGTGTTAATGATAGATGCTGCAACCACTGATACATCTGGGTGACCATTTAACAAAACACTAATTTTAATCTGTTCCAATTTGGATGTCGCTAAGTAATGTAATTGTTCCAAACCACATGTAGGGGGACTTTCCACTGTGTGCAGTCTCCTGGGTACCAGCCTAGGAGTGTTCTTACTCACGTTTTGGCTTTGTAGGACCCCTTTGCTGTCTCAAGTCCACATACTGGCAGCAACTACAATCACTTGCCGGCCCAGATCCTGAAGAACGTTTTAGCCATTTGGCCAAGGCTTGGGTTTGTTGTGGGGTTCTGCTGTGGGCTGGCCGAGGGTCCCTCTCTTTAGGATATGCCCTGCATGAGTTCTGCAATTGCCTACACTCAAGCGGTGTTCCCCAAGCTCAGTCAGACAGGGTGAGGGAGTCCACTTCCATTGGGATGCTCTGTAACTCCCACGCTCCACTTGCTGCATTTTCTAATGACTGAGCCAGTTGTAGTACCTGTTTGAAGTCCAGTTGGGCTTCAGCTAGTAGGCGCTTCTGCATGGTTACATCATAAATCCCACGTACCAAACAAAGTCTGTCAGCATCTCATTCAGGGTTAACCCAAAATCACATGCCTCTGCCAGTTGTCACAAATTCCTCAAAAATCCCAATACCGATTCCGATTCCCCCAGTTCTATAACAACAGCCGAATAAAACTGATAGCGTCTCAGAATTAAAGGATTTTGGAGTCACATTATTCCTTAACCAACACAGTCAACTCTAGGAAGGTTTTAGCATCTGGTGCCTCTCGGAAAGTTAAGCCCCTTTATAACAAGAAATGCTGCAGGTCCACAAGCAATCAGAAGGATAACTTGTTGCTTTTCATCTGCCCCAATGTCATTTACCCAGAAAAAGTATCGCATTCTTTCCACATACTGGGCCCAGTCTTTGATGGCAGGATCAAACAAGTTAAGTTTCCCAAACAAAGGCAGGATGCCAGAAGTGCTTACCCCAACTTCAAGATGACTATAGCAAGCATACGTTCTTCAGCCAGGTACTGTTTTCTCCCATCACACCTCCAAAACAACTGCACAAAGGGCAGTATCCCATAACCAAGTCACCCTTTATTTACTTGTGCACAATACACTGGCTGTAGCCAACCAGGTCAGAGTCAGTCACCTGAGCCCAGGAAATGATAAATCTCCTGGTTATATTGGGTAGCCAGGGCTTTCCTGATTGGCTGAGGTTAACAACAACCCCAATCAAGGATCTCGTAGTCAACAGGATCCAGCTGGTTCCAATCACTACAACAACCTACACGTCCACCATTTGGATGCCCATGCCCTTTAGTACACTGGCATGTAGGTTATCTGGCCCTGTAAATTGATTAGCTTCTAATCCCATTAGTTTATCTAGCACTTTTTTGTTATTAATGTTGATTTACTTCAGTTCCTCCTTCCGAGAGATCTTTGCTTCGATCACAATTTGGGAAGATTTTTGTGTTTCTGTGAAGACAGCAAAATTAGTTGTTTAATTGCTCTGCCATTTCCTTGTCCTCAATTTTCCTGTTTCAGATTGTAAGGGGCTCACATTTGTCTTCATTAATCTTTTTTTTCTTTTTACATACTTTTAAATGTGCACTGTAAGCACTTCTGTGTTCCTTGCAAGTTTACCCTCTTAATCAACCTCTTAGTCCGCTTTGGTTGAATTCTAAACTGCCCTCAGTCCTCAGGTGTGCTGTTTTTTCTATCAACTCCATGTGACTTTTCACTGGATCGAAGACTATCCTTAATTTGTTTTGTTAACCATGGTTGGGCCTCTTTTTCTGTTGTGCTGTTTCATTGGAGAGAACATATAACTGTTTCAATACATGAATTCATTCTTTAAATGTTAACCATCATTTATCCGTTGTGATGCCTTTTTAACGAATTTACCCATTCTATCACAGCAATACACCCCTCCATACCTTTGTTTGGTTGGGGTGGGAGGGTGAGGGTTGTAAGCTAAGGTGATAGGGAACCTGCAGCAGTGCTTTCCAGGGTCTAATTCTCGACTAAAATATGATCACAGGGCATTCAGAAAATCTACAGGACCTCTTAAGCACCAAGTGAGATACTTACAAGGATTTTAATTTCTCTTTTTAATTATCTTCATTCACAGGACTTATTCATAGAAGCCTGTAAATCCATGGAACCAATATAACACGTAGCAACAGCTGTAGGATTTCTATTCGTGGCTGATGTAGAAACAGGGCACTTAAGAGCAAAGAGTTTTTAACCTGTTAATTGATGCACATTTTAATTTTTGACATTTCATCAATTTTCTGAAAAATATCTGTGAAAAGAATAGGGTTTTTTTGTGGTACTTTTTATGTGGCTTCATCAAGGTGGTTGTTTAAAAGTAACACAACTTGTACATCCTTGTAAGCCTGGAAAAATGTACATTCAATTTTGTTTCTTTTTATTTTTCAGAATAAGGAAGTAGAAGAACTGACTAAAATCTGTGATGAACTGATTGCCAAAATGGGGAAGAGTTAATGTTGCCTATTTTTTTTCAAAGTAGTGAAAAAATACTGAGTGCAATAAAGCCAGTGGTGCAGTAATGTTGGCTCACTTATGTGAACGTTGGGGATTACACCACATTTTCAATGCACTATATCTCTTTTTCCACAGAGGACTGTTTAATGTATGTAGCATTCAACTGGCCCATGGAAGTTTTCCTTTTACTGTCTGCTGTATTGTAGTATGGCACACAACAAATGTTATGAGTTCCTGTATCAGGGAGATTGGTTCTTTAATGATTAGATTAGATGCATTAGATATTGAGATTGATTGATTGATTGATTGATTTTTTTTTTTGTTTATTTCTTTTTATGGGTTCCTGTGTATTGTGTCTTCAAAGTTTCAACTTACTGTACATTACATTATTGCAAGCGAAGTCTTGCAAATTTTCAGTGAAGCCTTAAGAGCCTAGACTTGATCTGCATTATGAATTTATAAAAATGCATGTGTGTCAATGAAGTTCTCTATTGTAAATAAATTTTAGTTTAAAATCACAGTTGCTATGTCTTTTTTTAATCAATGGTTGAGGTTGTTGCAATTTCTACGAGGTTTTTGCTCTGATTTTGATGGCTGTTTGTGTAGAGATCTTCATAAACTGATTTTCATTATGTCATTGGGTTCTATTCTGTTTTCCACCTCCATTTATTTCTGTAGTGGTTAATCTTTTGGCAGCAAGACACAACTTACTACTCGAGTTGTGGGTGTTGGACAATGCAAATGGAAAACTGTCTCATGTTGCAAACTCAGTTAAGAAGTCTTAAGGAAGAAGAATCAGTCACCATATGTTCACTGAAAGCACACATTAAAAAGAGACTAATCATGCAGAGTTGATAATAGCAAAGGTATTGGGAAGGGGGAGATGTTTAAAAAATTACTTCTGAAATCAAATTTGAAATCTGACAGAATGGGTGAGATTTTAGCTTGTTCAAAATCCAGTCGCTTAACCAGAGTAAAACTTAGGCCAGCTGTCTCAAAACTTGTCCTGGATAGAACAGGGATCAGGAATTAGACTTCTTTATTCGTGTCTGTGGATTGTGCTACAGTAAAAATTAAATCTGTGGTATGACAGAATATGCTATTTGCATCATTACCAAGGATTTCTTGTTGGGGCCCTCTTGTGGCACGGTGCTAGTGTCCCTACTCCTGAGTGGCTTCAAGACCCCCTGCTCCAGACGTGTGTAATAACATCTCTGAACGGGTTGATTAGAAAAATAGATTAATCTTGTTTTATAAAATTGTTCGTTTGAGAAAATATGCTACATCAAGTAAGGATTTTTTTTTGCAACTACTTCTGCAAACTATGCTTCATCTAACATGAAATATGGAAAGCAGAACTTTTGACGTTGCTTTCTACAGATGAGCCATAATGTCTAATCGGTAGATATAAAGTTTTGGTCATGTGTAGGTGCATTTGTCAAAGTTGTAGTGGTGATTAAAAAAAAATACTTTGCTCTTTGCTTGGAAGAGCAGTAACCAGTGCAAAACCTGGGATTTGTACCTGGTACACATGCTCTGGGGTTTTCTACCACCTAGAAAGACAAGTGAAGCAGAAGTATGGGAACACCTCTGCCGACAAATTTCTCTCCAAGACACACACCATCTGAACTTGGAACTACATCGCTGTTTCCTCACTGTGACTGGGACAAAATCCTGGAGCTCCCCTGTAATAGTTTTGTGGGTGGACCGGCACCACATGGACTGCAGCTTCAAGAAAACAATTGGGAATGGGCAATAGCCAGGCAGTGACGCCCACATCCCCTGAACGAATCAAAAGAACATGCGCTGGGGTTTGCAGCCGGTTGCATGGAGCCTGGTGTGTGCTTCGAGGTATCATTCAGTTTCCATGGAGACCGCGTCTCTTGTCTCCATGGGAACGAGTATTTAAGGGCCACCCAGCAAGCGGTGTGGCTCGAACAGCTGATGATGGTCCTGTCTTTACAGTCACTAACGGGGAGGGGCTAAGGCGAATTATTATCCAGCGGCAACAGCATGGAGTCAGGTCTGGAAGACCCTAGGGAAAAATGTAGCAGACTGGAGCAGCACCTTCCCGAGCCTCAGCTGAGTTACCATCCCCGACCACCACCTAAAGCTCACAAGAATGGGATCAAGCGCTCAGCGTAAGTGCACTCACTCTCCTGTTGCAATCGAGTGCGAGTGGATTCTATTCAAGTAGCTGAGTGAAGTTCTCAACGTTTCAGTAACAATTAACACGTAGAAAGCAACGTTTCCCCAATTATGTATCTGTGCACTTTCTGTTAAGAGTTTTGCTGTCAGTAATTTCCAGAACAGCACTGGGATAGTTTCCATCAGAATACAGTTTCCAGCCACGTTTTCCTTAAAAAAGAGAACCGTTCGCATTATTGGCCCAAAATATAAATCCAGTTTTAAACTGTGGAAGTCTTACACTTTATAATTGTAGGTGGATGCTGGTCGTTACCAAACAAGACTTAGCTGACAATTAGGGACTTCAAAATGTGTCTGTCCGATTTGTATTCTTGCTACTGCTGCTTTTTTGTTCAGAGACAAAAGTAGAAATTGCTGGAAAAGCTAGCAGATCTGAGAGCACCTGTGGAGAGAAATCGGAGCCAACGTTTCGGGTCGAGTGTACCTTCCTCAGTTTTCTGCTCAGTTTTATTTCTTGCCAAAAACTGTACGAGCAAACAACAGACCAAATTTTTGAATGCAACACGTACATTCAAATGTTGCATACTTGACCACAACTGCGGAGTGAATGGATTAATTTGTTTTTTTATCTAATTAAATATGACTTGGAGAATATGCTTTGCTCTTTTTAAAATTGAAACTTAACATGCGAAAATGTTGCAACATCCACTGTGATCTTAACCAACGCTAAACAAATGATTTAAATTTAACTTCCATCATACAAAATCCAATTTAAGGCAGCAATAAATCATTGTTCCTCTTGGTGATATAATCAGAAATATTGAAAGGATGAAAAAAACAGGATTTGAAAAGAACTCTGTCCTCAGAACAAATCTTTTGAGCAATGTTTTAGGCTGTTAATGGGATAAAAAGTTACTGTACAAAGTCGAATGCTGTACTTTTTAAGTGAGGTTTCTAGCTTCAACTCCATTAATTACAGAACTGAAGATATTGGTATAATTGCCTTGAAAAAGAAATCAGAATTTTCAAGAGAATCCAAACACCCTTTATCTGAAGAAAAAACCTTTCCCAAGGTTTAATCTCTTTTGGGACTTTCATCTCACATGTATTTCATATGGCCTCAAAGTCAGGCATTCACACTGCTGGACAAATGAGGTTACTTTGAAATCTAATTGATGTTATAAATGTCATATTAATATGTTGTGAAAAAGATCAAAAACAATTGTTTCAATGAAATTGTTATTTATAAATGAATCATGCTGGCCATAAAACATGCTGAACATATAAACCAATTTAACGATGATTCTGAAAAGTTCCAAATTCAAAGAAAACCACAAATAGCATTCCAGGCTGATAATTAAGCCTTCTCATGTCAAAGTCTTCTCTAAACCTAGTTCTGGAAAGTCCTTTGGATTTTGTATAATGGAACAATAGAATTGTATCACCGAGAGGAACAGTGATTTATTGCTGCATTAAATTTGATTTTGTATAATAGAAGTTAAATTTAAATCATTAGTTTAGTGTTGGTTAATTTCACAGTGAATGTTGAAATATTTTCACATTTTAAGTTTCAAGTCTAAAAAGTGGGCAAAGAATATTCTCCAACTCATTGAATTAACTAAAGAGCACATTAGTCCATTCACTCCCTAGTTGTGGCCAAGGGTGCAATATGAAAAGATATGTTGCAATCAAAAATCTGATTTGTCATGTGCTGGTACCTGTTCTGATGAGAAACAAAACTGAGCAGAAAACTAGCAGTGGCAAGGATACAAATCAGACAGATGCATTTTGAAGTTCCTAATCATCTGCAAAGTGGGATTCTGGATTTCTGCAACAACATATTTTCTGGCTATCTGAACATGACTGAACCTTAGTCTTGAGTGAGGGACTCCTAACTGGACTTGTGACTCAATATGGTTTTGTTTTAATCTACTCTCCTTTGTAAAACTCTTGTGTATGCATGTGTGTATATTCACAAAAATCACCAGGGTTTGTATGTGAGTGTAATCCTGTTTTGAACTTGAGTTTGGTTTGTAAATTAAATTGATGCCTCCAAAAAGAAAGTTTAGAAACACACCACAAAACTCCTTGAAAATTATTTTTTTCTGCTTGTGGACAGAAGACAAAGATAAACAATTTAAAAAAAACACAAAATTTAAGAAAGTAAATCTTAAGTGACTGCTTTACCAGTCATTAGGAAATTGTATTAACAACATGAGGTTCCTTTATGATCAGCAGTGGGAATAGTTTAGGTTAGATGGGCTTCAGATTGGTTTCACAGGTCGGCGCAACATCAAGGGCCTGTACTGCGCTGTAATGTTCTATGTTAAACTAATCAGGAGTTGTTACATTTTCAAACATTTCTGGCATGAATAAATAAATGAAACACTGATTTTTAAAAACGCCTGAATTTTCAGATAACAAGATGTAGAGCTGGATGAACACAGCAGGCCAAGCAGCATCAGAGGAGCAGGAAA